CGGAAATGTGGGGCGGTCACCGGCGATAACCGGTTGCGGGATTTGGCGGGAGTAAAAAGGGCACGAAAACCATCGGTCCGCTGTGGCGGCGTCTGGCGAGCAGGGTTGATGAAATTCAGGTAATCTATGTATCATTACAAATCCAACGGTTAAGAAAATGTTTCTTTTCTTTGTTCTTTTTAATAATCCTTCACATTTTTTTATTTAATGTCTATTTGATCCAAACCTGATTTAAATAGTTTTAAATGATCATAAATCATTTTGCCGTTCATACCAATGAACTATCTTTACATGTTTAATGTTATAGTTTTTAAAATTTAAATTTTCAAAAATTTGATGATAATCATCTTCATATTAAGTATATTAGTTGTACAATAGATATACTTAATGTATATAATATATTAGTATATACTTCATATCATATACACACGAAAGATAAAATCAAAATAATAGAAATAAAAAAAGTATGATTTAAAAGTTTTTGTCATATTTTCAAAACTAAATTTAGAAACACTAACCACTAAAATTAAAAAAAATATCATTAGTTAAATGAATGCATCAAACAATTATAAGAGTGGAATGGGCCTAAATCAAATGGTTTGAGTTGGGTGCATCTGACTCAAGCCCTATTGGGAAAATCCACATTGGGTCTATCCATGACCCATGATTCATGGGCTCTATGGCCTTAATATGGGTACTCCATAACTTTTTTATATGTTTTTTTTTTATTAATTTTAAGGGGTAGTATACCATGTATGTAAAGAAAAGAAAAGTTGAAACTTTTGTCAAACTTTTTAAAAACTTACAAGCTGAATTAGGAACTTTCTTTAACTTAAAAAAGCTTTTTCACTAAATTTTCTATAGATTCTAGTATTATGCTATATAAATTTAATCCTGAGCCAATTTTAATATGCATTATACAAACAACAACGTAAAGATTTATAAAATCAAAAGGGGGACAAAACACAAGTATAAGGATTAATTTTACTTTTGGTTTCACCTCAAACCAATGAAAATAATTGTCTTTAGCTATATATCATGATTAATCACTTTTGATGAAAGTCGAATTTGGTTACAAGACACGTCATCATTAGTGAGTGACTTAACCTCGTGCGTGTTTCCTGTGGAGAAAGTTCAGAAACAATAAATGTCAAATCTCTGAACTTGAACAACTCTGCATCAAAGTCATCGAATTAATTATTATCAACATTTGAAATGGTAGTCGTTCAACCATGTTCCTATCCCATAACATATGTTACGCCTAAAATCATGGAAGTAACAGTTGAATGGAGTGCACGACTCCAACGGTTATCTTCCCATTGTAAATAAATACCTAGGAGAGAAAGGAGGGAAGTATGCAACCATTTTGATTTCAAACCTACACTTTAGAACCATGTACTGACAAGAACTTTGGAGTGCTAACTCCTTGTTTTGCAAGACTCTTGATCGTTATTTTCGAGTGTTCTGAGAGATGTTAATGTTTTGATCGAAAAATTTTGAGAAAACAACTCTTGTCTTTAAACAAAGACTTATTTGCACATCTTGTAAATTCACGATGTTTTCACATCTCTCTATCCATTAATTTATGCATATCTATATACTTCAAGTTCCTAAGAGAGGAGGGGAGGGAAAAAAGATGGGGTTGAAGGGGAAGATGATGAGAATCCCAGTGATCTCACTTATTAATAAATGCGACAAATTAATTAACTGGGAAAATGGGATCGATGCTGCTGCTGCTGCTTGCCTCACAAACAACAAATATAAATAATACAGAAAGAGGACAAGAGAAGAAGACATAACCTTAAAAAGCAGTCAACGTTGTTTTTATTGTGGGATAACGTCAGCAAAGCAAATCAAAGCAAAGCAAAGCAAATATATATATATATATATATATATATATATATATATTATGTGAGCCTGAGGTTTGAGGAGCAAAGGCTGCCAAAGGGCCGTCCATCTCTGTCCTGTCCCTCTACTTTAACGCCTCAACCCAACCCACCATCATGCATCATCATCATATATATTTTTCCTTTCAAAAGCTCACAGCCGAGCTGAGAACTTTTCATTTCTCCTCCGTTGTTGAGACACGTTAAAAGATGAATAAACTATTATTCGTGAGTTTGAATAATTGCAAGAATTCGAATATAGGATCTACCATTCTGACATATATGTTAAGATTGAATAAACTATCATTCAATCCAAAAATTTAAGTTTCTAGATTCAAACACACACCATATTAATATTAATTTTTCGTCTTAATTAATTAATTGATCTCATTCTCTGTGTCATGCCCTTCCCCAAAATGGGAGACCAGCAGACAGCACAAGTCATTCCCCTCAAAACTGCAAGCTACTCTTCCCCATCCACTCATTAAATTAGTCCCATCTATCATCTACTTTCCCCTCCCATTTTCCCAAATCTAATTAAGGGCAAACCATCGTAGTTAGTCTAAAAGAATTAAGGTAAATTTTCATGAGTTTAGAGGGAAATGTTTCAAATCATGATGTTACTTATCTATGATTTTTCTTTGGCATCCAAATGTAGTAGGATTAGGAACGGTTGTTCCATGAGAAAGAAAATTGAAACCAAATGAGAGGGAGAAGCATGTACCAAGATTTTGTATTTGAAGGAAAGAAAAATTGTATGAAAAGATGTGTGGGTGAAAACAGAATGGGTTGATGAAAGTTGGAACACAAAACAAAACATTGAGTAAATAATTAGAGAAAAAAGGAAAACACAGCATTAATATAGTAGTAATGGGGGAAAAAGGCAAGGCGCAGTGTTAGAATAGAAAGAGGGACATGTTGTGTACATGTCTGAAGCATCACTGAAACAATTATTCTGCGTGGCGTGCACCTCCTGATCCCATTTCCATTCTCCAATATCCAACTCCTTAATTAATTAATTAATTATTATTATTATTATTCTATTAACTCCCAACAATAAATCTAATCTATATGTAACATCCTATGAAACACAAAGATTATGATTAATTTGCCAATATGGAATTCATGCCAGGTGCATAATAGAAACTTTTGAACTAATGGCCCATATAATGGATCTAGATTATGTTGTAACAACATGCAGAGTGGAGATTCGAATCCACATCATTTTAATAGAAGATTAGTGTCATAACCATTCTAGTTTTGTTTTAAAGAAATAATTTTAAAAATAAATGTAAAACAATTCATAAATTTGAGAATATTAATTATTAATTAAAGTAAATCCCAACATTGAGATGAGTAATTAGGGAAATAAAATAAAGAAAAGTAAGAGGCGGACGAGCTCTCTTGGAAAGTCTCAAACATGGCCCAATGTCGTACTTATCCTCGTATTGAAATTTGAAAAATGTCTAATTAATTAGTTTCTGAATTTTTAATTTTGTCTAATATTAATTTATTATACATTTTTAAAAATTCAACAACATATTTGATATAATATTAAAAGTTCAAATATCTATTATTAGATATATTTTTAAATTAACTTGTTAGCTAGACACGACATTTAAAATTTTAAGATTTATTTTAGATACTTTTGAGAGTACATGAAGCATTCAAAAATTTGCATTGCAAATAGTGAAGGGAAGAGACAGAGATTTGTGGTGTCCACGTTGTGGTACCATATTGTTTAATCACCAAATTAGGGCTTGAAATTAAATGCAATGATCAAGATTCTCTGTTGCCGGGGACAACCATCGAATAAGTACTTCAATTAAAGTTCATTCCCATTGTACTCCAGAGTGAGCTATATATATATATACACATCTCATCTTTAGTCTTATGCTAATTTCCCTATTTATTGTATATTCTAGCTACTTAATTCTAAAACAATCATTTATTTATATTAATGAGTTCTCACCTCTAAATTTTCATATTCATTTTCTATCATGACCTATAATGTGAGTGACAATGGACACATCTTATAGTTCTACAATATCTACTCTTGGTATAAGTCTATAATTTTACTTATCTCATCCCACTGAAAATAATACTCAGTCATTTATATACTTAGTAGCTTTATTTTGTCTAATCCACGTGGGACTCTAGCTATACATTCTTAATAATTTTATTATTATTATTATTATTATTTTAATTCTACACCATGTGGGATGAGGATTTGAATTCCTATATGTTTTAATCGAAGAATATATGTCTTAACTAGTTAAGTTTATGCGTTCAAGTTGGTGCTGCAAGGGAGGGAGTAAATCTGAACATGAAAAATTGATTACCAAACTTAATTCGATAAAGTGAAGGAAAGAAAAATAAAATACCATCTTCCATATATTACAATAACCACTCTAATACGAAGTTAAAATATAACTTCTTTGGTTTAAAATAAAAGGTGTTATTGTCACACTAAAATCAAAATATAGGACTACAAGTATAAATATAAGATTGACCTTACCTCAAAATCAATTAGCAATGAGAAGGGCAAATCTCTTGATTTTTTTGATGTACGATTCTTAACATGTCCATCGAGATGGTAGACTCTTTTGGATTCATCAATTTTTGACCAGATTAATTTTTTTATTGGATGCTCGTTTGAGCTTATCAGAATCTAATGTCATCTAATATTCATATTAGTTCTATCTTGAAATCAATTAAAGCCCATGTACTTATAAATTCAAAAAATTATCACATCAGATGCAAGAATAATCTATGAACATAATGAAGACTTTTATAAAAAAAGGATATTAGTGTAATGCAAATTAGAGTGAGTAGCATATTGGTTTGATTTCCAATTCGAGCTCTTGAAGTTGGAAAAAAAGTGTGGTTCTTCCCAAATGCTGCTTTCACTTTTGTTGTCTGTTTGAGAAACAATAACGTTTGACGATAATACTCCAAAAAATGAAACTCCACAATCTGTGTGTGTCTGTTGAAATCGCATGCGCTCGCTGACCACTACCTCTCCTTCTACTTTTAGAGGGAGACCAAACCCTTTTGCTTTTTCCTCTTATTAAATTAAAATCCACAACTCGAGTAGCATTCAAAAGCTGCCCCATAAAACAAAAACAATTCAACAAAATTAAATTAAAAGCCCCATCCACACCTCCACCTTCTTTAAATCTTTATAATTAAACTCCCCCTCTATAAATACACACTCCTCACCAACAATTTTAATCCCATATCCCATATCTTTGTAATCTTTTTGTGAGTTCAATTCATTTGCGAGAGAGTATAGAGATCATGCATTACCAAACGCAGCAGCCGTGGGGTTGTTACGTGGGGAGGGCCGCCGCCGGGGAGGATCCGGTGGAGCGGATACAGCGCCTGGCGGCCGAGAACGCCGTGGTCATATTCAGCATGAGCACGTGCTGCATGTGCCACGCCATCAAGCGCTTGTTCTGCGGGATGGGGGTCAATCCAACAGTGTACGAGCTCGACGAGGACCCGAGAGGTGGGGACATGGAGAAGGCGCTCATGAGGCTTTTGGGAACCTCCTCCGCCGTCCCGGTCGTGTTCATTGGTGGCAAACTCGTTGGCGCCATGGATAGAGTCATGGCCTCCCATATCAGTGGCTCTCTCGTTCCCCTCCTTAAAGATGCTGGAGCACTTTGGCTCTAACTCTGATTCTAATATATAGTCTCTCTTGCCAATCAAGAGAATACGTGTATTGAGAAAGAGTTTGAAGAATGTAATTTGATCGTGCATCCAACCGTGAGGAGAGACCACCACGATTTGTAGCAGTCTGGTCAACTTATTTTTTCCAGGAGTTAGGTGCAGTACTGTTGTCCTTTGGACATACTAATTTTAATCAACTAATTATTAACGTTGAGTTTTTATTATTTTTGTTTAATCCTTTGATTAGCAGAGAGATTATCAATGTAATTTGCCGATCTCCCTCCTCTGTATAAAAGTGAAAATTTGGGAAAAAGAGAAAAAGGAGAGAGGTTTTATTTACTGACAAATTAATCAAGTGATGTTTTCATTACATAATTGTGGGGGTTTATTTTAATATTATTAATATATGTAAATGAATGAATTAATATTATTAATATATGTAAATGAATGAATGGAATATATATAAAAGGAGAGAATTAAAAAAAAAAAGAAATTAGGATATGACATGGAGAAATATTAGGAAAAGGCAAGACAAGACTTTAGAATGGGCGCAACGCAGTAAACTTTAAATGGTCGAGGCCCGAGGGAGCCATGCAGCCTTTCATCCCATTTTACCTTAATAAATTAATCAAACAAAAACTTGTTCATGTTCTTGCCCTCTTTTTTGACTTTTATTTTTACTCAAGGAATACTTTTCAAATTTTAATTTCATGGTTTTAATATGTTTGGGCTAATGAGGTTTAGGGTTAAAAAGTGTAAGTCTTGTACAATATATTATATGTTTTGATTCATAATCTATGGTTTTATACACGACTGCATTTAATTTTATAAGTTTATGATTGGTTAATGTTGATAAATATTACAAAATATATAAGTTTCATAGGTCTAAATAATTTATTTTGGATAGTCGTCTAACCAAATTTAAGATTAATTAACAAAAGGCTTAACTTTAAGAGAAGTAAACTCATGAAACGAACATGATTAGATTCGACATCTTAACTGAGTTACATAAAACTAACCATTTCTTTAATCTTAATATTGATCTATAAATTAACTAGATTAGTATCATAATAACAAATTTTATTTTGAAATTTTAAATCCTTTGGATTCCTATAAATAATAGGAATGATGTGATGTAACATATCATATTTGGTTTGGTATTGATGCTTGTTTTTGCTGTCTTTTTCAGCTCTAGTTATCCAACAAAACTAGTTTGTTTTTGTAAGTCAATTATAGTTGTCACTTGTGTCATCATCTCTTGTTGATTCTCTTTTTATGTTTATACCAAAATTTGAAATAATTCTGTGTAATAACCACTGGATGATGTGTATTTCTAATTACTCTGAATATTCTTATGTACAAACATGTCATATTTATGGTACAAAAGTGTAGAGGAAATTACAAATGGTAAAAGGGTAAAAAATTAAAAAGGTTCATGTGAAAGGGGAAGGAAAAAGTACACCTAGGTCAATGTATGACTCACATAAGACAAAAATTCATAATAAGGGAATATTCTAAAAAGAATAATAATAAAGAACTTCATATGGAGGCCCAATATCTTTGCCCATTTACCTAAAATTAGGGCATAGATATATCACTTCTTTAAGAAATTTTAAAAAATTTTGCCACTTCTATGATTGATGGTCATAGTGTTTATATATTTTATAAAAATAAAATATATATAGTTATTTCTTGAGATCAAGAATTTGAACTCACGATCTCTTGATTGGAGATATATATTAATTATTGTTGATCTATGTTCGTTTTGATAAAAATTTATATAGTTATTAAAATCATGTTATTTGGGATCCTTTCAATATTACAGTAACTTGGATACTACTCTTTCCTTACATCAACATTATTTAAAAGTATATATATGTGAGATTTGGTATTAAAAGATCATTTATGATGGAAAATTTTAATGGAAAGGTTACGATTTATTTCTTTTTTGTCTCTTTTCATGCAATTTCTTGCAAATTGGTCTTGAGTTGAGGATTGAAAATTTTGGTTCATAGGATTTGATGATATATATAGATTTATGAGGTGAGAGTCCACCTTGGTAATTTAATTGAAATGTTTGCATCTAGTTGTAACCGAGAACAGTGTCACATTAGTATTACGTAGGTGCGACGAATGCAATTGTTTTCAAGATTTTGATTGTCTACATGCACAGAAATCTAACGGTGTATACTCCGTCGAATGACACTCTAAATGTTTAAGTTAGAATTCAAGTTGAGAATAAATGAATACGGAACAAAGAGCCGTAATCTCAAAGTTAGAGTCTCGGCTTGAAAGTGTGCCAAATTCGACCACACAAAACATCCCTCTCTCGGCACATGCGACAGGGCAAACCCAATGGTTGAAGAAGATATTTTTACCATATGGGTTTATGCTTTTTGGCCATATTGTAAATGCTGGAGGAGGATTTTTTTTTTTCTTTTGATTTACTGATCATTTTCATAAATCTCCGATTAGTAAACCAACAAGAACAGATAAAACCCAGATGAGAAAATTCCACTTCTGCATATTCGTCTTCAAACAGAGAGATGAAAGAAGAAGAAAGAGACGAAGCGAGTTGAGAGACATGCAACAAATTAAAGCTTTCCTTGAAATGATTGATTGAACAATTTATTAAGGATTTACTAAATCTTCAACGTGTGAAGATTGAATCCCAATTAGCCAAAAGGAAAGAAAAAAAATAAAAACCCTACTTTTAAAGTGTGAAATAAAAATGAGGAAGAAAGAATAAGAAAAGAAAAAATAGAAAACCAACTGACCCGAGTTCGAGGGGGGTTTTATGCTCCTACTTAACCGTTTATTGAAAATCGACCCAACCCAAAATACTCCCCTAATAGCCACCAAGCCAATGAGCACAGCTTAGACAATAATAATATTTCTTCAATATATACATATATTTGGATATCATGTCCGAATAAGAGGCACTTTTAACCTGTGCTTAACACATAGTTAAAATATTTGTACCTCCCTTGTAAACTCATAGATTGACGATTTAATTTAATTGTACAATAGAATGAAACAATATTTGTATTAATTAATAATATTCAACAAGTTTACAGATAAAAAAAAAAAACTTAACATAAAGGACAAAAACTATAATAATATTCCAAGATCCTCTTTTCCCAGCTGATATAGTCATCTAATTTTTAACTATTTTTTCTTCTTGTTGTACATTGTTGTAATTAAGTAAGTAACTAAGCATAGATAGGAACTATAACAACAAATTAATTCAAACTTAACGTAAAAGAAAAGTAGGTGATCACAAATTATAATTATTACATGTAAAAAAAGAATTTTATATCCATTCCTGGTAATTGGTCAGCATCTCCAAGCAGAAGCTGCAATAAGAGCCCTATCTTGCCACCCCAACAGCAAACAACCCTTGTCCTCCGTCAACCTATACCCATCACATGAATACAAACCCAGCAATATTTTTGACTGTGTCACTGCATTGCCACTCAACGGAACCCCTTTAAAACCCTTTGCTTCCATCAATTTCCTCCACTTCTCCAGCCTCTCATGGCGCTCGATCCGCTCCGCCCCCTCGCACGCCACTATGTTTCGTATCTCCGGTGCGAATATGTACTGCTCCACCTTTGCCCGCTGCGGTGACTCCACCGGGAATGTCGCGTCGAGCGAGTCGAATATAGCGGAGTAGTAGTGTAGGGCTTCCAGAAACCGCCCTAGAAAGTAAGGCCCGTTGTGGCTGGCTTCTTGCTCCACTAGGGTTACTATATTCGGCGCCTGGTCCCGAATCATTCCCAGTAAGTTCCCAAGGCTCTTTCCCGGGACGCGGTGGAGACGGTTGACGGCGTTGACCGCCAGAGCCTCCCCCACACGCCGGTTAAACATGTTCGGCTTCAGGGCCTCCAACTGCTCTCCAATGGCGTGGAATTCGAAAGGGACGTTGAGGGAATGAGCTAGCTCGGTCAAGCACCGGCCGGTTTCCCTGACGGCGTCGATGGCTGGGCCGACACCCGTGATGCGGAGGAATGGGGAGCCTCCCGGGCGGGCAGCAAGGGCTTGCATGAAAGCGGGCCATTGGTAGCCTTGGAGGATGTCAAGGTCAATGACATGGACGCGTTCCTCAGCTTCAAAGGCTTCAAAAATGGCTTGGTTGGCAGTGAAATGAGCAAACTTTACATATGGGCAAGCTTGATAAACGATCTGGTAAATCTTGAGGGTTTCGAGGGAGTTTTGAGGGAATGGAGGAGCAGAATTAGGGGTGATAATTGAGGTGGTGAGAGTTGCAGCAAGACGAGCACTTAGGGCTTCAGTGAAACAAGAAGCAACTCTTTGCATGGAATCACCAATTGGGGTCACAACTCGATTGAGATGGTGGAGATATCTTCTTGCTAACATGTAATCTTCTTTGGCCACTGCTTCTGCACACGCAAGAAGGAGGTGCACCAGTTGAAGTCCACTGTCTTGTTCCTATATATGTACAAAATAATTAAGTTCTCTAATCAAATATTCAATCATTGCTTCTAATTAATCTCTCAAATGGCACCAACTGAGATCGTTGTTTTAAGGAAGAAAAGTTGAATGTTATATACTCGTTGAATCAATTTTAACCTTAAACTTTTGATGTTACGAGTTTATATACTAAATTAGAAAGTGGTGCAACTAGTTCTGGTAAGTTTTTATTACTTATTTTGTTCTTATGGTTGGATGAACGAGGTTATGTTATTTCTACTTATTGTGTTGGATGCTGTTAATAATTAGTTGATAGATGACCATTAAGTGTCGCTAAGTTTTTGCACATTTTTATGCTTGATTTTGTGACGCTAGGTTTGAATATTTTTTGTAATTGAATTTGGGTATTCTTTTGACATGATTTTAGATGTTTTTGTTAGTTAATTTTGTATGATTTATTATGGGCTATGTTCATAAGTAATTTTCAAGTTCATCAATGAAATCAAAAGTTCAAAATCAATATAAAAAATCGAACTTTTCTAAAAGAAAAATTAGTAGCGGGGGAGAAAGAGTTTTAACCTGCTCAGATGACCCAACAAGAAGAGGCGCCATCAAGCTGTGGCTGAGCTGATTTTGAGGCTGCTTCGGCGGTGGAAGCGGCGGCAGCGGTGTTGGCCGTGGCGGATGCTGCGATGGATTCCCTTGTTCTTGATCTTGGTGCGGTAACGAGGCAGTTGTATTAATCGACCCCAAGTGATTATAGAATTCTCTCTCTGTTGAGGATTCTTCGTTTGACCCACAAAGACGTGAAGAATTTGGCATTGTTAAGTCCTCAAAAATGGGTGGAAGAGAGGTTGATATATCATAATATTGCAACGATTCTCCGATCCCTGAAAAATTAAAAAGTAAATATTGAAAAACAAACACATAAACACTTCAACTACAAGTAACTAGATTAAAAGGTTACGACACCTGGGATCTTGGCAATGTTTGGATATGTTTCAAAGCCTTGATCATCTTGATAATCTTGAAGCAATTCTCCAATGGAAGGGAGAGAAATGGCCTGATCTACCGATTGCATATACTGATTATTGTTTGGGGAGTTAAAGACCTTATGAAGTGGACTCATCCCTTTTCCTCTACTTGAAGAAGCTCCAACTTGAGAGGAGCTGCGAGGTGGGGAACACCCAGAAAGGCTTTGAATTTGCATTCCCTGCCCATAGTTGTAGTTATAGTAGTTGAAACTCAAGCTTTGAGGCGACGGTAGGCTTCGGACCGGCGACGATATCATGAAGTCGCAGTCGAGTTGGTCTGCAAACAAGGAATCCCAGACCGAGTTGTCGGGCGATTGGATCTCGATGTCGCCGCCACCATCGATCTCGAATTTGGGAGCAGGGAAGTTGAGGCTGGGGGGAGTCAGGGTGCTTTGCTCCAACTCAGAGGACGGTATCGATGCAGTCTTCATGGGGGCGGAAACGGATTCGTTGGGTGAGGTGGGCTGAGCAAGCTTGGCGCAAGAGGGGCTCTCAACCTTGCTTGATCCAATGCATCCACAGAGAGAATTGATCATCTTCTTTTTGTCCCAATGAATTCCTCAACACCCAGAAGCTAAAAACAACAAATTTTATGAGAAACAAACAAGTTTTGAAGAGGGGAAATTTGATATAAAAGAAAGAACTTGGAAGAGGCAAGTTTGGTTCTTCTTATTGAGATGGGGATTTTATTGTCAGTTAGTAGAGGGATTTGGTAAGAAATGGAGAGAGCATAGAGACAAAAAAGAAAAAAGGAATGGTATGTAATATAAATTAATTAGAGGGTTTTTGGAAGAATTTGTGATTGGTTTAATCTGAATTATATGTGCCTTGTTTTGTTTAGCAGTTTCCAAGAGATATGATTGTCGTGTTTGGCTAACTGTTTCAACTGTCCACTGACACCTCGTTGGAAATGGCAGTGAGGAGAGCCAATTCTCTTAGCTAGCCCTCATAAGTCACAACTGGGGCCGGCTAATGGGCAAACAAGTCACCTTTTTTTTTTTTTTTTACCAACGATGAATAAAAAGAAAATAATAATTTAGGGTAAAAACCATCAAAACTTGGAAAATTAAATATTGCACCACAAGTGAATAAAGTTTTTCCTCACGTTTCAAAACGTTGGAGAAAATTTAAATAAAGTTGAGAGTAACTTTTTCCAACGAAAAAATGCTTTGGGAGGAGAAAAGTTCATCGGAAAAGGTCATTCCCGACATTTTTTCCTAGGAAAAGTTCAATTTTCTCAACCTTTTTCAAGAGCCATCGGAAAAAGTAGGAATTTTTTCCCTAAATCCAATGTTAATTTGAATCTCGTCATTGTTTAGATCTAATTTTTAGGATTATTTTAATTCACATTAAATTTATATATCCCAATATCAAATAATGTGATATTTATATTAAACAAAATAATCTTTTTACAATATATTACAAAAATCACAACATTACAAAAAAAATTATAAAATAAACCTAGTTAAAAGCAAGGTTTCAAATGTCGATATCGATGGAAATATCGAGGTCTCAATTTCATGGAAATGTCGACATTTTATCGATGAATATTTATGTAAAAGTTAGAGAAATTAAAAAATCGTAAAAAAAAATTTAAATTTACAAATAAATATTTTTCTATTTTTAAATAATTTAAAAATTAATTAATATTAATATAATGTATATATTAGTGACATTTTTTGTTTGATATTTTTCATATTTTATCGATTTTTTTGTACTATAATAGAAATGTCAATTTATCCCTTATGTTGATGTCGAACCTATAAAGATATAGACATGTAGGAGGTAAAAAATGAATGGGTCAAGAAAAGGTTTAGTATATCAAAATTGATTCAATGATGGTTAAAAATTTAGAAATTTGTTGACAAAAAAAGGAAGTGTAGTGCCTTTATCCTAATATTTAAAGTTATTTAATACTAATATTTTCCATAAGGTACGATGAAATAGAAAATAATTAAGATATGATCATATTTGTATTGTATCCTTCTTTCTTTTTTTTACTTGATGTCTCAGTCTATTGAGTCATTCTCTTATTAGTACATGTATCCTTTGTCTATTTAATATCTCAAAAACAATTATTCTAGTTCATTTAAAAGATAAACAAAATTTTTATAAAATTTTTGGTGCACTAGTATACGATTTTAGCAAAAAAAAAAAAAAAATGCTTAACATGAGTGTAACTTACGTTAATTTATCTCTGACTAGGAGATCATAAGTTTGATTTACTTCCTCCCTACTTAAATACATTTGATCCTTGTATTTTTATTTTGTTAATTTATAAATAAATTTGATCTTTCATCAGTCTACATATATACAAAAATTTAACAAAAAATTTCACACTAAATCGTTACAAGCTTTAAATTTCAAGGATTTAATTGTTACCAATTTGAAAATACAAGAACTAAATCGTTACTTTTGAAAGTTCAAGGACTAAATCATTACTTTAACAAAAGTATAGAGATAAAAATATTTTTTAACCCCCAAAAAAATAAAGACGATGAATGTAAATATTTAAAAGATTAGGTAACAAAATAAGATTTACATCTTTAGGAAAGGATCGGTGAATTACTATTGAGTTTAAAGTTTTTACCTTTCTTTTTTAATATTCTAAGATATTGTTGATTGATTTTATATTTTTATATTTTTATATTTTCATTATTTTATTTTTAGTCTTTCAACTTTTTGAATGGAAAATTGTTTATATTCTTTATTATAAAATTTTTATATTGTATTTTTCTTAGTCATCACTTTCAAGTTTGTTTAATATCATTGAAACATCTAGCACAAAATACAAGACCATATGATATTTTTCCAAAAAATTCCCTATATGAAGTACCCCTGTGAGATTTTTGTTAATTTAAAATACAGAATTTCTCAATAGAGGCAAAAGTGAAAATTTAATGATTAAATCTTATTTTGGCTTCTAAAACTTTAGACATAATTTATTCTAGACTTTAAATTTTCAAATGTGTTTAAGGTTTGATTTGTTTGTTTTTGTTTCTTATTTTTAAAAATTAAACTCGTAGATACTATTTTTCTACATTTTAAAACTATTTTCAAAATCTAATCCTTATTTTTGTTTTGTAACTGAGTTTGAATGTGTTTTTGAAAAAGTGAAAACATATTAAAGAAATTGTGACTAACGAGCATCATCGAAAAAACGGAAAGCTAAAAACTATTTTTTTTTAGTACAATCCGTGGAGGCAGGGAATCAAACTCAGAACCTTCCTACTTGAACCTCGTACAAATAATCCTATTTGTAATATTTGCCATTATGATTCAGGACTTATAAATTGTTCAGGCAAAAACAAATAATTACCCTATACCATATGATCTGTTAGTTATTAAATTAGAAAGTATACAGCCATAATCCAACCATTATTCCAATTAATTCACAGCTGGTTATGTTGATCAATATAATCACTGTTTGCACTAGAATATTTTCATCACTTCCTACACAGCTGCACCATTGCCAACTTTATTCTTCCTAATATAATCTTTAAAATCACCCCTCCCAATGCTTCTGCCACTAACTTTCAAGCAAACATCCCAACAAAACGATATGATATTATTCATTTTAAGATATGATTGAAATGCAGTGAAAAACCCATCTGATCATTGCCATGTTTAGAAAAGATTACATGGATTGAGTTTGGGAGTAAGTAAGTAGTAAGAGAGATTTATAAGTAAAAAAAAAAAAAAAGGAGAGATTTGAAAAAGGACGAAAAGAGAGCATAGGCAAAATCGTCGGTTGTGGCGTCGGTGGCGCCGTCTATCCCTTGGATTTGCCAAAGGAATTAAGTGTTTGTCTCCATTTTCTCTTTTCATTCTCAGGCGGCCAACAGCCCCTCCAAATCTTCTTCTTTCACCTTAAACAATCTATGAAAAGTTTGAAGAAACAAAGCTGCAAAATAGAAAATAAAATCATTATCGAAAAGACAGAGCAGAGTTGTAAGTCTAGGGGGTGTGGTTAAATAGTGGAAGATGGATGTGAATGGAATCGTCAATGAAATCAATATTGGTCATAAACAAAAGGGTTTAATTTGTGAAGAAAAACAAATAGGAAAAAGATTACAAGACCCAGTCTTCGTTCTCTGTCCTTGAGGAAGAAGATATGATATTATTCATTATATATTACAAGTAAATGGCAGAGTTCAAGTTGTTCTATGCTTTGAGCTATTTTGGAGACAGACAGTAACTTGTTTTATTCTTTGGAGATGCGAAGAATAATAAAATATTATTCAGGTGCAAATGCATGGAGGATGTGATGCTGTATTGGAGTTGGACCATAAAATGAGAGAGTTGGCAAATGCAATTCAACAAGCTGAGGATGTAGGTTCATTTGTGCAGAAATAACTTTCTTTTATAAGCATCGAATTAAAGAAATGGCACGCTAGTTCATCGGTAATTTAAATAATATCATGTAGACAGACCCGAATCGAATAATATCATACCATTGTAGTGATATGAAAAATCTATTATTCGAATAAGTAATAGTATGCAAATATAGTAGTACATAGAAAAAGATGATAGGTATATAAGTAATGATAGCATCTACTTCTACGGGTAGAGTCTCACGAATGAAACCATGTATGATTAGACCAAAGTAGACAGTATCTTCACAATCAGAAGCTACAACCCAGTTGCTGAAACTAAAGGAAATAAGAAAGTGGGAAGTAGCTAACTATATAATTTTCATAATCAGGTTCGATCCTTCCATTTTATCCCGTAATCAACCTTGTCTTCTTCATATGCTAAGTGATAAAAGTGTAGATATAATATATTCCCATTATCCTCTGAGGAGCAATCTTAGAAGGCAACTGATCCCCAAAAAGTCATGCCTGACCACACTTGCTTAGACAAGCAACACCTTCTTCTAGATAATCTTCCCTGCTGATCCAAAATTCAGGTGCATCCTGGATGTGCCAACATCAGTTAATTTCTTTTACATAGAGTGACCGTTTTCTCAAATGATTTAGAATATTATCGAGATGGCAATACTGGTACGTAATATTAACAGAAACATTGACGCTAAAACTATGATGTACCTTCATTATTCCTGCCAGGACTGCACCACCTAGATACACCATATGCTTTCTTCTGGGTGGATCCTCTATCCGCAATCTCAATTTCTATAAATTACAAGATATAGAACAAGATTCATGTGTTCAGATACACCATGAAAATATTGTTTGCTTTTACTGCCTTGATTTTCCATGTTAATGTTAAAAACTTAAAAGGATCAACTCATTGACAACTATTCACTAGATATTTAATTGGGCTAAGTCCTAAAAATTCATGAAAAGTACTACCAAAGAGAGTTCAGAATGATGTCATGCACACAAAACAGACCATGAAAGAGATAATGAACAATAAGGTATTTTAATCCTTTGTAAGAGATCATACTTTTTTTATACGAAGCGATTTATGATTTAGGATAGCATGAGGTGTATCAAATATTCATTGAGGATCTTGTCAATCAGACTAGAGCCACATGGCAAACTAGTCGTGGGCATACACGTGAAACTAAAGATGCACATAACAATATAATAAGATTAGAAATTAACAATAGGCATACAGCATACATAATACTTAATAGTATAAGATTAGATATAACCTTTAAACCATCTTTGTTTCCCTTCAAGACAACTTCAAGATAGCGATCAAGTATTTCTTTCTCCAAACTGAAAATTATTGCAAATAATCATCATTTTATCAAGATCTAAACTTGTGAGGAAAAAAAAGTAAATACATATTAAACACCAATTATGAGTCAACCCTATTGATGGGAACGTATTTGGGTAATTATATGGATATTAATAGAATAGTAATGGTATATTAGTAATTAGTTAAGGAATTTGTTAGTTGGGATTCGTTATAAATAGTTTGGGGGAATGGATGAAGGGAGGTAATTGTGCAGTGGATTTAGGTTTAAGTAAGAATACCAAGAAAAGAAGGGTCTAAGTACTTCAAATTATTGAGAGTTGTTGCAGTTCTTCTATCTTCTATCTTTCAACATATTTCAGTTATTTGGTTTCGATCACCTATCAACGAGCAATAATGAATTAGGATGGTAGGAGTCCTACACACTGCTTATTTTGTTTTTGTAAACCATCCAAAGTTTCCCATCCCAAAATGCTAGACACACCACCCTATGTCAAAGTTCTTTTAGTTCTTTAGAGAATCTCCAATACCATTTTACTATATGAGCCTCAATTTTTCTCTCAACCTACCCATACATAAACCTCCATTAATTTGTTACTTATGGGGCCAGTTCCTTAATCTACAGTTGATTCAAAGATCGGCTTTTTGATTCAATTGTCTTTGTAGTCATTTCTTGGTGCAAATGTTCTCCCTTATTTCTTTACTTTAGTCAAACTTCCATAATCTACAGTTGGAAAGTGCTTCATGTAATCCCTTGGGGTCTTTTGTAATTTCATATCATCAATGAAATTATTTCTTTCACTAAAAAAAAGTTCCTCAAGGAACGGAAAAAACAAGATGCCTATGTGTTCAAGGGATGAGGTCTGGAAAATATTTACAACCTGATGCAACTACAGTAAGAACACGTCTTTTAGCTGTTCTAACAGAATGGTAAAAAAAATCTGTTCGTCTAGAAGTTTCACTTGACATCATGGGATTTGGAAAACCCACTGTATTTTTATGATGATTAAGTGCCTAATAATACAGCCACTACGCTAAGTTATCCAATGTAATACAGAGTTGCCAAGTGAATAAGAATGGAGAAAACATTGGTCAAAGTAAAATAATATAATTACAGATTTACGGACCAATAAGAGCTAAACATTACCGACTAGGTAGTCCTGGATACATTGTGCTCCCGCCACTTAAAACTATATGCTGGTAAAGCTGCAAAGCAATAACATTCATATTTAATTTAACATGAAAAAGGAAAAAAAGAAAAAGAAGATAAAAGAAAAAGGAAGTTCTAAGTCGTGAAATTAAGTCATTATGCTCTACTAAACTGACTTAAGATCTCAGAAGATGTACTGACTCGTGGCTGTAATTCGCATGAGATAGGATAGCAAACTTAAGCATCTCAAGAGAAGAAAATAAAGGAAAATAAAAGGACAAAACAAAGAATAATAGCCAACATGAATAAATGGTAAGCAATTCTTTGATGGTCAACTCCTTGTTATCAATGGTTCACCGATTTATCGAAACATCAATGTTTCCTTGAAGTCTATGGACAAGATGAATAAAGTGGCATAGTCTTGATAAAGATGTGTACTATACATGGTATTACATGTAAAAAGTTCACCCGTGTTAAAAAATTTAATTCATTTCGCTTCTTAGTAAAACCCATTGAAGACATACCAAAAGCAAGATTTTATTTCTTGGAAGTATATGAAAGATCTAATCATACCACCATCCGATTATCAATGTCCATTTCTTGAATGCAGCGAAAAACCATATCTGCCATGCCATCCCCTTCAACATCTATCAGTTCCTGCATGAAAGATCAAACTTCAATATTAATGATTTAATAAACATTGTTAAAACTACAGTGCACAAATCTGGGGGAAAAAAAAAGAAGAAGTGGTTAATGCATGTAGTAGAGATAATTGCTTCTATGATACCTCGTACATTGTACTGGTAAGTTCTTCCTAGTTCCTGTTCATTTTAGTTTTCTCAAGTGATTCTGGGTGCTTTTGGACATTTTCTGGTTGCAATGAGGTTTTTAACTTTTTAACTAATTGGTTTGGCTTATATTGTTTTCAAGACAGTTGGGAAGTTTTTCCAAGATTGCCCTGGGCTACCTTAATGCATTAGAAGCAGCATACATGGTATCTCAGTTACTTGTACTCTTGCAACCAGTATGGTACTATGGTTTCCTTTTCCAAATACCCACCCCCTCTAAACCTAGTCAAAGCACACCTTCAATACCATTCTTCTATATGTCCTCTTAATATAATATCCCAAAGTGTGATTTTCTCCTTAGATTTCAATTCTCGTGAAGTCATCTCAAGTTTTTTATTATATGATCTCATGGTAGCTGAATCAGTTACACCGCTGCATATGTCAAAATATTTTGAAAGATGACAAATACTCTAGAAAATAAAATCTTATGATAAAATATAAGCTGGAAGTCACTTTCTGGATCATTCTCTTAATCAGTGTTACATGTGTAAAGCAAGTATGGAGAATACTGATCATATTTCCCCAAGTTGTTCTTTCTTTAGATCTTTTAACACCTTTAGTTGGCCTTTACCAAGCCCTTGAAAGTTTCTGAGTTCCTCTCCATGGTGTTCACTAGCCACCCTATCAAGAAAAAAGCCAAGTTTTTCTAGGTAACTGGTAAAGGAACTTTCACGAGAAGAGTGAGGATTAAGAGAGACTTTAAATAGGGGGGAAAATGAGCACTTTTTTTCCTCTGGGATTGTGGAAATTGATTTTTTTCCAAAACTTTGCTCCCTCTCCAATGGCAGCCAATTAGAGAGCTTTTTCGTGATTTCCATTGGCTTGATCTTTTTGTCTATCTTTTTATTTCAATCAAATGTTCTGTGTTCTAGACAAAACAATGACGAACACAATGAATAACAAATGTCTCATTCTTATATAAGAACTAATGTTCCATATAACCTGGGCCGAATATTATGTTAATGTATGGTAAAAATGAGCTATAGATATAAAATAAATAAGAACTCACAGCTAGAACAGAGAAAAGAAAGAGTGGTTTAAAGCACAGGCTTACTGGAGTAAAGAGCGCCTCAGGAGCTTGAAAACGTTCAGTGCCAACTTTAATCACCCTTCCATCTGGAAGCTGGTAAAAAAAAACTCATCCAAGTGAATTAAAATAACATAAAAGTAACATACATCTCTCAATGGGACCAAAACCAAGTAAATAGAGTATCGAATCACTAAACTTCATGGAGTCTGTAAAATCGCATCCGAGAAAGAAATCTCCACAAATGATCAGAAGCTTTTTGGATGAGATATGGATTTTAGTAATAAGCAGTAAGCAACAAATATAGAAGTAAAGAAAAACTGAAAAATATGAATCCCATCCAAATGTGATGCAGCATTTAAAAATGAGTAGAAAAACTTCTAGGTTTGAAGTCCAATAAGATGCTGAAAGTTAGCCATTTGCCCAAGAGGAGTCATCAAATTCAATGTCCTCAAACTTGTCTTAAATTTTTCAAAAACCAAAATCCAACTTCAAAATGGGCTAAAAAAAGCATAAATTCACATTATGTTTTTTAAATTAAGCTCAAAGTCCGAAAGGTAACCAAGCATATAAAAGACATTAAAAACCACCCCAACTCAAAGAGAAGTTTGAACCATAACCCCAAAAAATCACTAATATGGATGCAAGGACATAAAAAAACGGAAAACAGTGCATGAATAGGATAATTACATGGAGACAACCTTCCAATTAGAAACAAAATAATAATAATGAAACATGGTAGAGCACATTAATTAAAATATATTTTTGAAAATATATTCATATAATGACCATGTGTTAGCCCATAATCTAAAGGACAAGTAGTAGATTCAAACATATGATTGAGATCATGAATTCAAACTATGGTTGAAACCTGCATAGAATATTAAATCTCAAAATGGAGTTGTCAACTAGTGAAATATTCAAAGGAGCTACCAATCTAGTCAAACCTGAGTCAAGGTGTTACCTATACATAGTATAATTTTAATTCTTAGTAGAATTTACAAAGGTGACTTACAGTATAGTTCTTGACAAGAATGGTGGTCTCAAGTCCCAATTGATATTCCCTCTTGTAATCGTAACTGCATGTATATACCATTAAATGGTGGAGCAACAAACGAGCATATATCAAAAAGCATACAACGTCAAATTGTTTAGTTCACCTTATATAGCATAACTTCTCCTTGATTTCCCTAACAGTCTCGAAGTCAGCAGACCTATTCATCGCATACCTTCAAGACATTCCATATTTTAGCCAAAGAATTCAATTAATTGAAGAAATTATTTTTTTATTCCCATCCATTTTATATCGACTGTGCAATGGAAAATAATTCCCACCCTCTCCGTGAGAGTAAATCAACAAGATATGAAGTTATGTGTCGCCCTGCTACATTCATTCTTTTTGTAAGATGAGGAAATGAGTAACCATCAACTACTGGAACCTGGAGAATAATTTAGTAAAAGCAAGATAAACAAATCTTCTTTGCTCATTAAGAAGAATAAGGAAGAGAAAGTAATATCCACTTAAATATGAAAAGATTCTACAATATGTAAATTATTTACCACGTGAGTGACACCATCACCAGAGTCAATGACTAACCCAGTCAGTAATCCTGCCAGAGCAAAACAATGAGTGAAGAATTAGCTGAAAATTAGAGTGAATTTGAGGATGTGTATCATAGTGGCGGTGATGATGGTAGTCGTGAAGGGGTATGCCTTTTTCCTCTCCATCATAATCAAATGTACGATGCAATTCCACAATTACAATCTGCTAACTAAAGATCTAAGGAAAAGTGTACCTTAGTTGAAAAGTATAAAAATATATTAGGAGAAAATAGGGGGGAAAAAGATAACAATTAGGGAAAATAACCAAGCACAATTTTGACCTTCATTCATCTTTATAAGCACCTTGAGCATACAGAGTTAGAACTGCTTGGATTTGGATGAAAACGCCAGCAAAGTTGTACTTCTCAAACATGGTCTCAACCTGTAAGGTTAAATTGACCCAACTCATTAAATCCAGCAAAAGAAATTGAAAGGAAAATAAAGGATCACAAACCATTTGTTCACGGTTCTTTGAAGGATTGAGAGGTGGATCTGTAAGCAAAATTTTACATTCTTTTGGATCTA